TATTTTTTTTCTAGTTTCGTTTTGCTTTCTAAACTACGTCTTAACTTTAATATTTTAAATTTTCTTCTTTTATATCTAAAATTTTGTTTTTCCCGTTATTCTCTATGAGCGCTGATGTCAAAGTCGGGTATCGCCGATTCGATACTTATATAATTTGCTTTCTTGACGATTTAACTTAAAAACTTCTTTTTTTTAAGGGGAAGGGCTATTTCCAGGGCCTCACAGACACAGGACCCCATGGGCGCCCACATCGCCTTTATTAAAACAATATTTACAGAGGAATTTAAATAATTAACAGTAACATTTTGACATAGAGATGCAATTAACAGAAGGATGCATATCTTTTGCATCAAAGTATATACAAACATATTAATGGATAAATAAATAATAAATAAACACAATGGATAAATACAGTTTTGGTTATATCAGTAAACAGTGCATTTTTGCTTATATAATAAGAATTTGCATAGAAAGTTGAATAATTTTATACATATTTACAGTTTTAACAATTTAGAATGGGATGCAATACTTATTGCATTAATAAAAATTAAATATACAACAGATATAATTTTAAAGTTATACATTTAGTAATCAGTTGACAAGGAATTTTTGATGTAATCTTATAGATTGAATTCCATAAAGTTTTAACAAGAAAATTTTGACAAGATAACTTATAACTTAATAATTACAATATATAAATGGCTTTCTGTATGATATATTACAAATGTAAATCCGTCTCTGTAATCCAAAAAAACACACTTTGGTAGACGTATCTCACAGCAATTTCTGGTTAGCAAATTATTTTTTATTTTCCATTGAACTACAAATATATTTCGGGTTGGTACAATGTACTCAAACTCCTCCTCAGTGATTTCCACATTATGTAAATTACAAAAAAAATTCTTTTTTGTTTTCAAAGTAGGGATTGGGAGGGCAAATCTTCCTCATCCCTATTTTGAAAACAAAACAGAATTATGAGAATACACTTTTACAACTCATTAAGCAAGATACTTTGAACTGACAATCCTGAAACCTTTTGCTGCATGGATGGAAGAATTTTCTATACATAGTAATTTGTATCCCATGATATCATTCAATCTATATTTATAGTGATAGATATAGCTCTACAGGAGCCCTATGCGAGATTAGCCGGGGGCCAACGGGGTTCCCTACAGACCACTTACTCGGCAACGGGTCGGTAAGGACCCGATCTCGTCTGTGGATGGCTTTCGAGGAAGGGTCGGCAGGATTGTGAGATCCGTCCGATGTCAGGACTGACACCGTTAGGATAATGCTAAATCGCGCCCTAACTCGTGATTCTTAGATAAATATGAATAGAAGAATCGATTAAACTGTCGAGAGAGTGTCTGTTTTCCCGAGTGAGAAACAGGCAAACAGGTTTAACAAACATAAGAAAAGTTTAATATATATCTAATAAAATATAGGATACATAATAAAATATCCTATATATGACTAAATATGGCGATTATATGCGGATAATATCAAATCTTACAAGGCGTCGCGACTATTCTGCTTCCTATTCCGCGAGATACGTGCTCGCTTATCTAAGAGACTTAATCTGGAACAAAAGAGAGAGTTTACAAACACCAGATTAACAGAAATACCTCAAAGAGAGAATGTTATCTTTTCGGTTGGTGGAGCAGTATACAGATTGTCTGGAGATCGCTCTGTGGCGGATGAAGTTCGATTAGTAGGTTCTGTATGGCGTTGTTCCCTTCGAGTGGCCTCAGTCCGCCGAGTTTCGTTCAGTATGGTCCGCTGGGTAGTTGGTGAGTAGAAGTCTTCTATCTTCTCTCGAGATGTTTGCTACGTTCACCTACTTCTATATACTTCCACCTCTTCCAAATACTTCACACTTTCTAAGTCTTCCACTTCGAACTCTCGAATCTGTCTCCTTCTATTCTCGTTGTCCTGGAAAAAGTGTTCACGTGACCGATGGTTGTTTAGAGACGAATGTTGATTCTGCAGTTGTTGGTTAAGAGATGACTCGTTGATGATGCAAAGATGTCGCTTTAATGCAGCTGTTGGTTATGAACTTTCAAGATTTCACTCCGTGTGTACTCTTAACTTCCTCTTGTTATCGTTTGGCACTCTGTTGTCAGAATTTCCGGACATCTGTTGACGGGAAGTGCGTCATTTACTTCGTTTTCTCTGCGATGTTTTTCTAACGACCTTAATAGAAAATTAAGCTTAACAAACTTTCTCTCTTTTTTTCGCATAATTAACCTTACGATTTCACACCTACGTCTTTATCAGTGATCCATTTTTCAAACTCAAGTAGACTTGTTTTAACTTATATAAATTAATTGTTTTGACGTTAAGCATATTCAACATAATACATAATTTTTCTTTTCACTATTTCCTGAATTATTTTATTCTTTGGACAGTCTGAACTGTAAATATTATGATTATTGTCACAACTTCCTGTTATATTTCCACGCTGTCTGTAGCAATTTGCACATTTGTTCTGTGTCTCACGACACTGCCAGCATAATCTACTGCACATTTATAATATGTAAGTGATCCTTGACAGTCCTTTGACATATGTCTAAATTTCAGGCAATTAAAGCACTGTATAATAAGTAAAGCTTCGTTAATTGAACAAATAGACCAATCAAGGCGAAATCTCTGCAGCTTGAGAAATATCTGTCTCAGCTTTGAAGAAACCTCGGACTCGACACGCTATTCCTTTTCATATTTTCTGTTGAGAAATCTAAGTTTAACCCTGTTCATAAAAACTTTTTTTGTTTCATTTTTAATTTCAGAGTTGTTTTCATAAATAATATCCAAAATTTGAGTATCACTAATAATAATTGGTACATTTTTATGTAATAAGGTAGTGTGAATACGGGCTGTTAGTCTCCCGTTCACTTGTCAGGACGTCTAATTGACTCTCAAATGTCAGGCGAGTGGATGGAGAGAATTTGGGGTCGACGATAAGGTGAAGAGCGTGATCGAGTAAAGGAGTCTACCATATTTATAACAAATAAAACAACACTTTATTCAAACAAGCGAATTAATCAAAGATTGCACAAATTGCGTTTAAACCGCCTAATATGCTCGAGAGAGAGTTTCCCGCTTTCATACCTCTTTATGGAGTTCCTCGATCGGTTTAATCCGGGGAGGCGCTTAAATGATCAAATCTATTATCCACAGGAGCACAAATTTAAAAAGTTCGCGACTTTTGCGATGATTTTATTCGAGGTTCATCGGAGATAGGAATTCGGCGGGTTCGGAAAATCAGCGCGATGTCGTCGGTCCCGCGTTCGGTAATAGACTGCTCCGATAGGGGGTAAGAACGGTCTTTTATAGGATTTTGTGGAGAATTTCCACCACGTGATCGGATGTTCATGAGTTAAAGGTTATAGGTGTTCCAGGGATCTACAACAAATGACGACATTTAGATGCTAACTTTAAACCTTCTTGCAAGACGAGATGCACGTTCTGCAAAGAACAATGGATGTTGCTAGTTATGATCGGGAAGTTTACACTAGCCCAGCTAAGATCGGGTTTTTTTCGTCTAAGGCGTTACATAAACGAAAGTTTAATTAATTAACATTTTTGTTAATAAAAGAGCGGGATTTCCGTCACAAAAATTCCGGATCTCACAGTAGGATGTTTCTTCTTCACATTGTCCTCCCCAATACCCGTGTATTTTCTTTTGATTTATTCAACTCACTCTTTTCGCTACAATCAACAACAATACCACTCTTTCCCCAGTTTTAATTGTTTGTTTTGCGATCTTTAATTTTGCCAATCCTTTAATACAAACGCCGTTTTCATATTTACCATAAGGTTGGTGCAGCATGGCCTATGAGGCCCTCGCGCCATAAAACAACAGCAAACAAATACAGGCATACCTCGACTTACGTCGTTTCGAGTTACGTCGTTCCCGATTATACGTCGCTTGTTAAAAAAGTATATGGAAAAATAAAAACTCGACTTACGTCGGTTTCGAGTTACGTCGTTCCCGATTATACGTCGCTTGTTAAAAAAGTATATGGAAAAAGTAAAAATCAAGTTTAAGTCATTTTATTCCACTTTACGTCTGTCCGCCACAAATATTGAAGTCGTAATATCACTAGATAAACGTTTAAAGCACATAAAATCATATTAAAATATATACAAGTATGTACTGTATTTACAGTACATGCATTCGTAAATTTAGATTATTTTTTTTTGTACTATATTAAAAACTAAAATTTATTTGTTTGTAAGCTTAAAATAGATTTTTATTAACCATATATTATTTAAAATGCTTTCCTAGTGATAAGTAGATTCGGAGACAGGTGAATTCGACTTACGTCGTTTTTCGACTTACGTCGTTTTCCTGGAACCAATTACCGACGTAAGGCGAGGTATACCTGTAAATCAATCCTCTAACGTTCTTTATAGTTTTTGAATTTCTGCTGTCATCAGCCTAATTAACATATAGGCCATATCGATCGTGATTTTGATTGTCAGTTGAGTTTTTCATTTACCAAACAATAATAAGTAAATTAATTAGCGATAATGACTATAATAGAGGGAAAAACTAAGTTTAATTAATTTCACTTAATGAAATTTTCAATTAAGGTAAAACCATTACTAAGTACTTAGTAAAATGCAATACTTTAGCTACACAACAATACACATTTAAGTTTTAGAAAGATACTTTTCCTGTTGGGTATGTGAAATTCACGCGAAAATTTTATCTGCACCACAAATTTTCAAATTAGAATAATTTATAATGGTTTTTTATGAAATACAATTCTTAAATGTTAAATTAGTATATATATTTTATTTGCATATACAGTTAAATCAAAGAAGTATATGTGAAAAATTTTTGAATGACTATTCCAAATAATTTTCTTCATATTTTTCAAAGAGTAATTTAGTCCTCAAAAGTACAGTGTAACGTCACAATATATTGAAAAAAGGTGAGGATCTAAACTTAAATATTTTTTCGTGTGAGGAATTGCAATGAAGTCTTCAATTGGAGTGAAACGATCTGCAGATGGTTTAATTTCTATTTTGTTTCTTGGAATTATTTCCTTATTGGGAAATCTAACGATAAATTGAAACGTTGTAAACTTTTTAATATAAAGTCCAACTTTTAAATCAATACATCCGTTCATTTCGCATGTAAGAAATTTCCTATCTTTCCATTTTCTGTTATTAATCGAAAAATATAAATTTGCTTCTATTCCACGTCGATTTTTGTGGGCTATTGGTAGACGAATTCTTCTCATAAAACAGTTTTCGTGAAGAAATATTTCTGATATAAATTGTATATTTTTGGTCATGAATCTTTGTATTTGAATGACGGGCGGGTATCGATTGCAGTAAGTGAATAATAACGGATATAAGTAAGAATCTCTGGTTTTTATGTTCTTGGAAATATTGTCAGGGACACACGACAAATTTTCAGTTACGAAAAACAGCCTTATTGCTTCCAGTTCTTTTTCAGTTAAGACGAGTGAAAATTCATCTGACTCAAAGATTTCATTTTCCATTGTCAAAAATCTGATTTTTGGTAAGAAAGGTTCCATGAGTTGTCTTAGAGATTTCTTCTCACTAACATTGTTCACGGCCCATCGGTAGGCAATATCGAAGATATTCTTCTCGTCAAAATGTTTATTAATAGGGCGAGATACGAGTGTATCTATTGTTGCTTCTCTACAATCGAAGTACAGATTTGTACAAAATATTTGATCGTATTTCACATCGAACATTCTCCAACAAGTGTATAATAATTTGTAGTTGCCGATTTCGGAAGCAAAGTCGTGTACAGAACAGACATCTTCGGTTCGTAGCGTAGTACTGATATGAGCATAACAAAATTTATTTACACCAATGATACGTAAGCTCTTGTTAATTTTTAAAATATCTATTGCTGTTTTCAAAGATGTAATCCCTGATCCTTTACTTTCCAACAGTCTAAATGTAATGAAAATACGATCGTTGTAAAATAATTATAGTATTCAGAAGGAATTTTAGAAATATTTACAATGAGTTTACAATTTTCTAGAAAAATTTTTAAAAATTGAAGGCTAAATACAAATAAACATTTGATATCTTCACACATCCTTGACAATTAAGTGAACACAATTAACATAAGCAGTGCCAGAGAGACGTTTAATCAGTTTACATATTCGTAGCAGAGAAAAGCCTCAATGGAATGATCGACTTTCCTTATGTTAATCCTGTTCTTGTGAGTGCATGGATGTGTGAAGACATCAAATGTTTATTTGTATTGAGTCTTTTTGTAAAAAATTTACAGTTTCTTAATGTAATTATTATGAAAAATGTCACTTACTCTGAGATGATATGCAAACTTTCAAAGGTATACGGTAAATAAAAGGTGATATCTTCGACATTGGTATAAGATTCTATCATACACATTAACATGAAGCTGGTCGTAGACATTCTTGATCGGGATACTGGTAGTTGCCGTCCCTCTATACACTGAATTTTAATAGTATTCATCGATGCTTTTTTCGAAAATTTTACAAAATAATAATTAATTTTAATAATTATAATTTGAATTTTATTGTTGAAATTGTCTTTGTTAATAGAAATTACAGTTTTTCACGTATTCTATTGTTTATTTGAAATAAATGGAATCATAATCGAACATTTTTATAAGTTAAAATAAATATTTTTATCGAAACGAGTGCCGAGTAAAACATTATACAAAATATATAACGATTCTATTAGTGTCACTCGTCACCAGGTTTCAACACCAGATTAAACACTACTAGCCACCATTTAATGTATTATCTTTAAGAAATAACGGTACGAGAAACTAATGAATTTGGTACATTTATATTTAAAGGTTTGTTTCAGATATTAATTAATATTTGATGAATAATTTTGGGATTAATTAAAACACATGAGTAATTTGTGTTAAATGAGTCCGGGTTTTAATATAGCTTATATTTTTCATAGTTTTAGTTTGACCTAGGGATATCAAATCGTAGTTGAGAAAATCGTGTTTCTATGAATATTAAACAAAATATAAATATGTTTTAAAGACAGAATTAAGGAAAAAAATGTAACAAAATTTCTTTTAGTCACATTCGTTTTTTGAACCTTAATCTGATAGAGGGCAAACTCTGCTGTCCGAAACGATGTTGATTTGGCTGGCTTTCTGGTCTAAGTTATGGTGGATAATGGGATGGAGGACCTTGAGGATTGCTAAGGACTCGGCCTGGTTGATGCTGCAATGTGCGGCTAGAGAGAATTATCCCTGACAGAAGAAGCCCCTGAGGTGATCCATCACCACTACAGTACAACCGACCCCAGAGTGATTCCTTGACGTGTCAGTATAAATTTTGAGTTTCTTTGGGGAGCTTGCCCTCTCAAAGGAGAAGTCCACAGTAGATTTTAGAAAACGTGTGATAAAAAATCAGCCAAATAATTATATTCTTTCAATAGATGTGAATAATTTTTAGATAGTTATCCGAGATTAAATAAAATGCATTTGATATTGCTAATATACTGATAAAAAATCATTTATTTTTTAAAAACGGAGTCGCTCTGTGAGGCCATAGTTGGTTTGGAGGACAACATGAGCTACTTTTTTAAAAAAGATGTGACCTCTAAAAATGATTATTGTACTTAAATATATACGTTTTAATATTTTCGAATGTAAAACAAGAGCAACTGCTATTTTCAGCATGGAATACTGGAAAGGACAATGAAAAATAAAATTTCACTAGCCCTTTGTATTGTTGACAATACTGCAATTGATATTCTATACAAAAATTTGTTAATGTCAACAGTGTGGAGAGCACGTGGACGAACAACACAAAGAAATTCGTCTACAATAAAAGTTTTATTGTCGTTTCGTGCAATTATACAAGATTCTCAATGATCCCAACTCCAATATATACAGTTCGCGTAACATATACTTTATTGGAATGAGAGAGTGCAACGGTTATTCGCGACAATGTAAAACCTTACTGACCCTATCTTAACCTAGCTTATATACTAAATAAGGAAATAGAATGAAGAGTGAATATTAAGATTAAGAATAGAAAAAACAAGAGAAGACTGCTGGTTAGGGTACCCGTGTTTCCTTCCTCCCTTTCTTCAGATTTCACTAGCATCGATGTAAAAAAACTTTCGTCGATTTTCCTTCCCTTCTTCCTATTCGTTATGTCTCGCTCTAGCTGTTCTCAAATCACTCAGTCCTCCTTAGTTACGGCGACCAGGCTCTCCTCTCACCATCTGTCCTGTTTCAATGCTAGCTCCAGTCTGCCTCTCCTTTTCCACCGATTTAGCCTCGGGGTCTTTTCTTCCACACCCTTGTTTTTCCTTTCTCTTTCTTAGAAACGTTTTACCACCAGCAGGGATGAAGGACAGTTAGAAAGTTCGGGAAAGTGTATCAAAGAATGAGGAAACTTAATCTTAAGAAAAAATATATACAAACAACTGGTGTATCACCACAACAGTAACATTGCATACACTATGTCGCTTAATTTTTTATAGTAAATTCAAATATTTTCTTTAAAATATCATTCGTAATTAAGTAAACAATAAAAGTGAAAAGTCTATTTATAAACGTTTTGTTTTATTCCAAGTGTCTGTGTAAACACTATAATTTGGAGGGTATAATAGAAATTTTAATTGAATGTAGTAATTTCGCTTTAGAAATAATTACAAAGAAAAGGAAATTTTCAATGTTTTTATATCACCATTTTATTGACACTATTTCTAATAGGAACCACAATTTTAAATAAAATTTTCATAATGAGGTGGAGATCAGTATGAAAAATTTGTTTAAAATTGTGCTAAACTAAAGCGGCTAAACTAAGCGGAAAACTAATTATTCTCAGTCAGTTTAGCCGCCCCTCCATTGAAAAATAAGTTACACACTTGAAAATATTACTCGCAAGTGTTTGGATATTTATTTTTATACCAATTTGTACCTAAATAATATTGAATTTCGTACTGCTTGCTAGTAACAGCTAGCGAACAATGTCTCTAAAATGCTCGAAGGTCTTTTCGTCTTTTCGTGTTTAACAAACGATCTTTCGATAATAGGAACAATAATGCCATTGTTCGCTTTGCTTGATAGATCGCTTGGTAGGTGTGTAAATGGTTTTACTACCATAAATTAGGTTTACTCTTCTTCATTTAATTTTTATTCTTGCAGTAAATGGACTGTAGTAACTGTACGAATTTATTATTTGTCTGAAAGACAGGGTTAATGAAGGAATAACGGAGGTGCGGGTAAGTTGCAGCCTTTTTTAAGGTTTTTCGAACTTGTTTAATTCCTAATGTTTTAATAAATACTTTTTATAAAGGTACTTATTGTTTTATTGTTAAGTTATTTGTTAGTTTAAAATAATTGTTTTGAGTGTGAATATCTGAAATATTTCGATATTGACTACAAGAACAATTTAAATTATACAGTGGTACTTCTGAACTCCGTTCGAGTTCACCCTAGAGGTCGAACAAATTGGAATCTATACATTTCATTCGGAAGAAATTTTGCCCAAAAAGTTGAACTTTTCTTGGAACATGAACAATCATGGCCATTTTATACCGTGTTCGACATCTGACGAGGTATGCGTGATGCAGTACTCTCTGATTGGGTTAATTTTTATTTTCGCTACTTGCTATTGTTTGGGCCACTAAACACAGTTATTGGGCTACAAACGCCCCTCGGAACGAATTGAATTCGAGCTTCGTGATACCACTTTAACATATAATATGATTGTAGTCGTAGTGGTCAGATGAAACGTATTCGAAAAACAGAAATAGTCGTAAAAACACATGCAATTTGCAAGACCAATGTAGTGTCATTTTCGTGTTAAGATTTTTTGTAATAATAACAAATAAGAAAAAGTCAATGTAGACAGTCATATTTCCAACTAGATAATCAAAATTGATATCCAGACAACAATACGAGGACCATTTTAAATAAAAGTGATTGAATGCTCTTAATGGTTTACGTACTATATTGCGGATGACGAAAGGGTTAATACATTCCTCCAGCCGAGTGTAACACTTTTTGTAATGTTGCACGATGTCAGCGGAACCGTTTTATTATAAATTACTTAGAAATTGTTGTATAGCCTGCAATGTGTAATTGATGGTTTTGAAGCAATGTCCCCATAGATCTTTTATCTTCAAAAACAATTCATAGTCCAGACATGGGCAAATGCGGCTCTTTTTGAGTTACATGCGGGTCTTGATGAAAGTGTTAATTTCTACTTTTTATTATTATTTTTACAATTTTATTTCCACAATTTCGTGAAAATACGTGTATTAAAAAATTCAATATTNAGCAATGTCCCCATAGATCTTTTATCTTCAAAAACAATTCATAGTCCAGACATGGGCAAATGCGGCTCTTTTTGAGTTACATGCGGGTCTTGATGAAAGTGTTAATTTCTACTTTTTATTATTATTTTTACAATTTTATTTCCACAATTTCGTGAAAATATGTTTATTAAAAAAATTCAATATTTGTTTTATATTAATATTATATGATAAAATTGCAGTAAAGAACTGTGGCTCTCATGCATTTTGCAAACCTTACATTTCGGCTCCCACTGAAGTTTTTCTCGCCCACCCCTGTCTTAGTCGCTAGATCTCATGCTCGGACTATAGTGAGTCAGCACTTGTCAGTCCCACCACTGAAGCAATTACCACTGAATTTGCAACGTTGGACCATTTGTCATTATTCAACACAATCGGATGTTTTGCAAGGGATATTGGTTGTTTTCGACGAATTTCTGGCGGAATATGATTCTTTACAAAGTTACGATAGTGCTCGCTGTTCACAGTAACTCCTGGAAGCTCTGCGTGTCAAAGAAGAACGCCGAAGTCGAAGGCAACAACGTGAATGGCCGTAATGCCCTGGGTGCTTTTTGGAATATTGACCGTCTTGGCAAATCGGGATGGTGTCATTCTGCCAATTGGGAATTTTTCTCGGCCTCGTGGCTTAGGGTCCAAGTTTCGTCTAAAGAGGCATAGCCTTCGTTCCCAAAAGAAGTCATTTCCCTCCTATTCATACCTACTCCCAAGTTCATATCGCTGCCACCTTCGGACTTCATCAAATTGTGAGACACCCAACTACTACTCACTTTTCTCATTCTTCAATTCACTTTTAATGATCCAACGTGAAAAAATATCCATTTCACTCTCTAACTTTTCGCACGTCCATTGCGATGTTCCTACAAAAGCGCCTACACTTGACAGACATGATGGCACTAACAGTAAGACCAGATTCACTCTGCCTTTTCGTTTTGGAATGTTCTTTACTCAATGCTAACCCTTAACTGGTTTCGTAAATTTTACAATCATGACTGGTATCATGGGGGCTACGCAGCCCCCAAGCAAAATTTGCCTTTAGAAAGCAAGTTTAACAATGTGACAGTTCAAAAGTGCATAAATGCTAAATGGAATCCTTCTTTAGTATAATCAACTTTTATTTATTTATATAATTTTCTTTACTTAATTATTACAAGAGATCACAAAATTGTTACAACTTTTGGTGTATGCTTTTTTTAACAATACAAAAATCTACCCTATTGTAAGTTTTTACCAAAGATATTTTTTTTTCTTATTCTTAAGAAACTAATCTTATAAAAAAGTATCTCTTATAGCCTCTAACTATCATTTGTTAAAAAACCACAGGTAATATAATCACTTCTATTTTTAAGACTCAGGAACATTTTAACGCAATTACGTAGTTCAGTCTTGAGAGTTATCACATAGTATTTTTGTAGTACTATGCACTTTGCAAATAAATTTCAAACAACTGTTGCACTTAGTAGCATATTTACCATCTTTTTTTCCAGCACAAAATGACAACATACTCTTTTCAGGAGATTTCGGCTTGATCTAGCGATTTGTATATTATTATCATCTATTAGCAGTTCGAATGATTCTTTGGTAGTCATTTTGAATTTTTGATGCAAGGTTGAGATATCTTTGCAAAATAATTGTAAAAATAAAAAAAACATTTCCACAAAAAACCACCGTAACTGGTATCGTGGGGGCTGCACGGCCCCCAGAAGGTACGTAGCTCCATCCTTGTAAGTGCTACAGGGCCGAACATTTGGCACTCGCTAAGAGTCGCGACGTAATGAGATTACATAAAATGGCAGCTGCGCACGATATTTAGATTTTTAGAAAATCGTAAAAATATGACGCGTGGGGGCCGCGCGGCCCCCATAAAACCAGTTAAGGGCTAAACACCACCCATTATTAAAAGTGAAAATTCCGAATGAACATAAGCTTCAACAAGTTTTTTGCGACACTTTACAGCGTTCTTTTCACGTGTCACTTGAATTTTTATGAAAGAAATTTACCTCTTTCGCTAGAAAATTGTATACGGCGAAGCATTAATTACAGCGTGAGTAAGTGTAATGCTGCTCAAAGATTTAAAGAAACTAATACCGGTGTTTTGCGTAAGTATGCAAAAAAGAAGACAAAAACACTAATATTTCGCTATTAACGTTAACAACTTTAATTCAGAATCTATATATTTTGGGGTGCTTGTATCCACGTTTCTTCTGTCCTGTCAAAGTTGTCCGATACAAAAAGGCATTTACACGCACTGTACTGCTTGATGCGACTCAACACATGTAAAATCGAAAATGAAGGCACGATTTAGTTTTGTTACCAAAAAAAAGTTTTTGGTTTTATTCGATTAATTAAGGCGACGCGACACATGGGCGATCTGTGAAGGGGAAATGCCTTCCTCGGCAGATCGCCCATGTGTCTTTAATTGGAAACAGCCCCATATTTATACATTATTGACGACACGCAAATGGTAAACAATATTATTCAGTAAGCCCTTTTATTGAAATTTTATTTATGTATCCAGATTTTAATACTCTTACATCCTATCGGTATTAACTACCAGTGTTAAATGAATGAAATCACTGTATATCGAAAGTTAATCGTGGGTTCGCGCCTTTACAGCGAGTTGATTACGTACAGTTTTCTGCATTTTCTTTATGAGTGTAACAAATAGAGGGAAGATTCTTATCGATAGTTTTCCCAGGAGGCACTCACTTGGAAGACTGCAGATGTGTTTTGTTGCGGTATCCCATCAAACCAAAAGATTGAGACATAAACAAATCTGATTATTTATTTATTTATTTATATCTTGTTATTATATACATGTGTACTGTTATATATTTTTGTTATTGGTTTTGTTATTTATATATTTATTTATATTTATTAGATTAAATTATTTTACCATATGACATGGCGCAGCTTGTCATATGGTAAAATAATTTATTTCGGTTGAACGTGTCTTCATTAGTTTTTCATGTGTGGTCCTTGCGCCAATAAACCCTAACCTAACTAACTAACATCCGACGTCCCTCCGTGTTCACAGTGTTGTGTAAATGAAATAAACACGACTAATATATAAAATATTAATTATTAAACATTGAATTTTACAGATCATGAGTTTCGCAATACAGATCAAACCCGCAAATCTGAAAATAGCAGAAACCAGAATAAAAGCATGGTCCTTTTTAATGAAGAACCTCTCACTCTGTGGATTGAAATTGGATGAGAAAAAGTTACCCATTTACAAAATTATCATTTTGATAGTTTTAAAGTTATACGTGTGTTTTAGTATATTTAAGGCTCATTATCTTATACTAAAAAATAAATTTCCTGCAATAATGTACATGTCGATTGTATTCTATACTATACGCGTAATCATTACTTTTATTTCTTACTATCACATTTACTTCAACAGAAAAAAGTTGCTTCATCTGATAAATAAATTATACGAAAATTACGAATTAAATTTAAATAGTGGAGTAAATTCGAAATTACTTTTCTTTAAGATTGTGCTAATTTGGGCTAATTTCTTATCACATAACATTTTTGTTTTAATAAATATAACTAATGAAGGACATCTGAATATGTGGAATGTAAATACTTTTTTCGGTACCAATTTAACTGGATACACATTGATTGTGTGTTCTTACCTGCATAGTTTCATATTTAATTTTATTCGTTTCGTTCCGCCTAACTTGTTTCTTCTTCTTTTTCTTGTAATTTCTATCGAAGCAGAAAATTTATTTTATCAAATTCAGTGCATAATTTCCGGTTTTTTCACAGTATCGAATAAAATTC